AACTAGAGTTATAATCACGCTTTTATAATGCCTTCTCTGCCCCTTGCCACTCTACGTTTACAAAGGCACTGTTAATTGATTACAATCATTTTAATGTGGCAATTTCAGAATCATTTTTACCCATTGCTTAAAGATGTGGCTGAGAATGCATTGGTCATAGTATTAATATTACTTTTCATCCAGTAGTGATATTTATCTCCATATATCTCAACATGAGTTGAATCAAATGCAGCCATTTTTTTATTATAATAGATTGTTGAGTTCCAGTGATGAGAACTCAGCATCAATCCTGGAAAATTTCTGTTTTCAGTTTTGTTTTGTTTTGTTTTTGATGTTGTTGGGGTTTTGTAGGATTTTGGAGTTTTTGTTTGTTTGATTTTTGTACTGGGTTTAAACCTAGGGTTTTCTCATGTTAGGAAAATGCTCTGTTACTGAGCTACATACCCCATGTGTTCTTTTTTAAAGGATTTATTTTGAAATTGTGTGGTGTGTGTGTGTGTGTGTGTATGTGTGTGCACGTGCAGGCATATGTGTGTCTGTGCAGGCTCAGGCATGTCAGGGCACATGCATGGAGGTCAGAGGACACTCAGGTGTCAGTCCTTACCTTCTACCTTGTTTGAGACAGTCTCTTTTGTTGTTCACCATTGCACACACCCACAAGCTTCTAGGGAGTCTCTCCTGTCTCCACCTTCACCTCGGCAAAGGAGCACTGAGATTACAAACAGGTGCTACCATGCCCAGCTTTACTTAAGTGTAGCAGTTCCAACTCAGGAGTTCACACTTGTATAGAAACTGCTTTACCCACTGAGCCATTGCCACGGTCCTTCTTTTTAACTCTCAGTAGCTGTGTTAACCTGACTAAACTCAGAATCTTCAAGTTAAATACGAAGTGGAGGCAAGGAGTGGACTGGAAGGAGGATATGCTCTATGCCTTTGTTGATATTGCTTCTGGGCTCAAATAATCCTGGCTTTTATTTCCCCTAGTTATTGCTACCTAGGTGCTGGGTTAGTAAACTTTCCATTTCTGTAACAAATACCTACAATAATCAACTTAGGAGAAAGAAGATGACAGTTTTGGAGGTTCCGGTCCATGAGCAGGTACACCTGTTACTGTTCAGCCTCTAGCAGTGGAACACAAGATCATGGCACATTCCTACACATGGTGAAGAAAAGCTGCACAGTTTATGGGCAAGATAGAAAAGAGGAAGAGGAAGGAACTGAGGTTTCACTATCCTGTTCAAACACATACCTCCAGTGACCAGAAGACCTCCCACTAGGTCTCTTAAAGGTTCCACCACTTTCCAACTGGTGAACATGATCACACTCCTGTTCTTCCCTCGCACCTGTCTCCCTGCGTGAATTGACCTACTTTGTCTTCTACTCTGAAGTTCCCAAGAAACATCCGACTGTATCCTGATAGCATTAATTAGCCTTTGTGTTGCCATGACAAATACCTGAGAAAAACAATTCAAGTTTTTTTGGCTCATGGTTTGGAGATTTGGGTCCATGGTCAGCTGCCTCTGTTACTCTGAGCCCACAGTGAAACAAAACATCTGGCAAGAAGCACATTGTAGGACAAAGCCACTCACCTCATGGCAGTCAGGAAGCAGAGAGACAGAGAAAGGATAGGAAGGGGCTGGAGACAAAGGCTCTCTTTGTGGACATGTTCCCAGTGACTTATTTCCTTTGCTTTGGCCCCACTTCCTAATTTCCATGAAATTATGAATTGGTCAGTTTATGAGTTGGCCGATGCACTCATCCATTGATGAAGTCCCGCCTTGCAGTCTACCCGCCCAAAGTCCCATCAATGAATACTACATTGACATCCAAGCCTCTCCAGCACATGAGACTTTCTCATCTAAACCATAATGCTGATCACTGTATCTTCTCAAACAAGACAGCTTCTTCCACAGTAATTAGCCCAGCCTCTCTTCCAGGGGCTCTCAATCTCCTATACTAGATTGCACTCATTATTTTGTTTCTGTTCTTTTCCTCAAAGGATGTATCTTCTAGCATCTTCTTACCTCAGCGCTTATTAGTTTATTATCTGCCTGTGTCCTGGTGTAAGCCTCACAAGTCAGTATTTTCATCTATTTTGGGTCCTAATGTAGCCCCAGTATCTAGTAAAAAGTAAGGACTTGACACATATTTGTTGGTCACAGTAATGTCAGAACCTGACATTCGAAAGGGAACACCTTCTAAAATTTCTTACCCTTTTCCTTCTAATTCTGAGATAAAAGCCAAATTTCTAATAAAACTTATCAGAAGTTCAAGTGATCTGGATCCAGACTCCACCGGTCACAAGTTCTCTATTTCCCTTAATGTCGCCAGTGTGCTTGGTCCCTTGGTATTCCTAGACAGGTCATGCTTTCAAGCCTTCTTGAGTATATTTCTCCTGTCAGGGATCCACTTCTCTCTCATCTTTCTATGGGGATAAGAGTGCTTTTCTCCATCAATACCTAGAAGTGTGAATTCCTTTCAGGGTCTTCTCTAGTACAGTAAAGCAATATTAGTCTCAGACTCCAACCTCTGTTAGATTTTATACTGAATGTCCATTTCAGTGTTGTACCCACTGATGACTGTCTCCTCTGCTCCTCACATCTGTGCTCACAGCCACATATGTATTCCCTCGTGTTTGTCTTCCCCAGAAATGACCAGTGTCTACCACAGTATCGAATAGTCACATGATCCAATGATGAGAAATAACTGTCTGTGGTTGAGCCGTAGTACATTGATGGTCCCCAATTTATCACGTTTGACGTATTTTCTTTCAACTTTATGATAGTCGGAAGGTGATATGCATTTAGTATAAATTGCATTTGCATTTTGCATTTATATCTTTTCCCTGACTGGTGATACTGGGTCAGATCCCCTCAGGCAGTGCTCACAGCAGCAGGGACCACCTCCTAGTAAGTCAACCAGGAGGGGAAATGACCAGTATTCTGCAATGCTCTTGTGGCTAAGCAGTGATGCTCAGTAGGTCACATGCCGTCAGAGGGTCTTTTATGGTATTTTCAGTTAATGACAGTTTATCAGGATTTAACTCCATCCTCAGTCTAGGAGCATCTGTAGTCAAAGAACTAAGTGCCCAACTCATCGCAACATGTCCAAACCATTGTCCACTCACCCCCAAGACTGTGCCTCCCCACTGTGCTCCTTTTGTTAATAAATAATGGTTGCCATTTGCTGATTTGAATCTGGGAGTTGAAAAGGATTTTCTCTGACCCATCAGGTCACTCAGTCAATCATATGTCCTCTGAATAGTCTTTACTTCCCACATATCTACCAGATCCATTGATTGGCCTCTTAATCCTATTGCCCAGAATCTCTGCCATCTAGTCTCCTGTGACCAATATCTTGCCATAGCACACCATCTGGCATATGGCTTATTCCATCTATGTTTGTAGGGTGAAGGGATTGCCTAAGTTAAAAGCATGTCCAAACCCCAACAGGCAAACTCTCCAGCCACGTGGTTAAGCTCTGAAGGACTTTGTATGATGCAGAAGCCCAGGGAATTTTTCTGAGGACAGAGTTCCATGCTATACATGGTGATTTGGATTTCCTACAGCATTAGATGTAATTTTGCTTTCTGGAAGGTTGATTTCTTTCAACTCCTTCAATTCCACCAAGGAAGTTAACTTCTCTGATCATTCTTATCTTAGAAATACAAGTTAGGGTATATTTAGATTGCTGAAATATGTAAAATACTCATGTAACTAGGAAAAGAGTTTTATTTATTCCATAGTAAAAGAAGTTAGTGCCTTTAAGGAAGATTTATAGCCCTTCATTACAAAGAGTCGAAGGTCTTAATAGCCTTGTATTAGTCAGTTTCCATTACTGTAACAAAATATCTGAGGTAATCAACTTATAAATAGTTTCATTTTGGAGGTTCCATTCCATGACCAATTGGTCCTGTTGCTTTGAGCTTGTAGTGAAGTAACACATCATGGTGGGAGCACATGGTAAATCAAAGCTGCCTGTCTTCTGGATGCCAGGAAGTTAAGGGAGTGAGGAAGAGGAAGGGCTGGAGTTTTAATGTCCTATTTAAGGGCATCCCCTTGAACTGCCTTCTGATGGGCCCCACCTACTAAAGGCTGCAGCACCTCCTGATAGCACCACAAAATGGAGACTAAGTCTTCAATACATGAATGGGCCTTTGGGGGGATGCTCCAAATCCAGACTATAACAACCTGCAAATGTTTGGTTACTGGGATCAGTCTAGCTGTACCACAGAGTGCCCCAGCTCTCAAACTCTTTTGAAAAACTCCAAGATGAAAGAAGGCAATTATAAAAATCTTAAGATAATATGAGTGGTTTTAATATTGGCCACTTCCCCTGGGTGAGGGCCACTTCCTGCCCTGATCTAAATGTTTCTGAGGCTCTGCAGCACAGTGGGAAGTGGTAAGCAGTGCATGTTGGAGACATGGGCACCAGCACATATATTGAATGTTCTCTTCCTCCTTTTTCCACAACAAACAGCACTGGTGCTACACAGGTTGCATCTGCCCAGTATTAGTTGAGAAATTACCACACTGTTAGTTACACTGACTCTCATGTGGGTCTTCAGATGGCCTATGGAGGAAGTCTGTTACCTGCCAAGTGAGTCAGTTCATCTCCCTTCATCCCCCTTCCGCTGCCGGCTGAGCAAATTTGCTTGGCGTGGTGGTACATATTTGTAATTCCAGAGACTCAGAAGACTGAGGCAGGAGTATTGTTTGAGACCAGGAAGTTGGGGGCACCCTGCATGATTTAGCAAGCCCCTGTGTCTTTACATATAAGCAAATTTGGTAGGGGTGTTCTAGATCTCTAGGATTTGGCTGACTGTCCCCAAGCCTTCAGAACACATTGGTATGACTTCCATTCCAAAAGGCAAACGGAGCTCAAGCCACGTGGTTTCTGTTATCTATCACCATGGAAAATGCTGGCCATCTGTGATGCTCCCATTTTAACGCTTTCCCCCCCTCCTATTTTATCTCCATCTCTTTCTTGGGAAAAACAAGCTGAGGAAGTGGAGAGACTGGCGGCGATGCGTTCAGACTCGCTGGTCCCGGGTACCCACACCCCACCCATCCGGAGGAGAAGTAAGTTTGCGAATCTGGGGAGGATTTTCAAGCCTTGGAAATGGAGGAAGAAGAAAAGTGAAAAGTTCAAACACACATCAGCAGGTAAGGTGGTTGCTTGCTTTAGTTCTCATCGGCTGTTGAATTGAATTCAACGCTGCATCTTAATTTATAGAATTTAATTATCATCAGCTGTCTGAACTACAGAAGACACTCAAACATTGGAGTTGTTCTTGCCTTTGATAATTCCTCAGTATGATAAGAAATGACCTTGAGATCTTTGGTGTTCTCTCATCTCTCATAGGAGGTTTTTCTTTTATTCATGTCAGTTATTTTTTAATTTAAAAACAACCACTTTTGTTTGATTTGTAAATACTGTGAACTAGGAACTCTACCTCCTCTATAATTGAATACTTTCACTCCAACCTTGACAATCCATTTCTTATGGTTCATCCTGATTTTCTCTGCTCCAATAAAAGTCAACACACAGCAGAAAATGAGTTACGTATGGTCATTGGCAGATAAGAGCAGAGTATTTCATGGAGGAAGAAGATTCCTGGAGAATCTTGAGTAAGTGATGCTTAGACAAGATGGGAAAACAGAATGAAAATGATTCTTCACTAGAGTATGAAGTTAACTGTGCATTTCGTAGATCTGTGACCAGCTGGGCAATGTGGAGAAGGTCAGTTCAGCAGGGGGATGTCACTTCTAGAGCCAGACTGCCTGTGTTCAAATTCTGATCTGAATATTTTCTGGATATAGGAGCTTGCTTAGTTTATTTAATTTTCAGTTTCCTCATCAATAAAGTGGGGATTAAAAGTTAGTGCTTTATGTGAGTATTTATTTGTGGAGACTTGACGTGGCAGAGCAGGTGGCTAGTTTTCAGTACATGAGGATGTGGAGAGGGAAATATATAGAGAACACCTAAGAATTTTTATACGTTGGTATTAGATGAAATGCTGGGAGAGGTGGGAAGGTTGGATTTGTTTTTATCTTGGTCTTGGGCTAGCATATCAAATACCACCCACTGGGTGGCTTAACCAAGAGTTTATTTCACAGAGTCATAGATACTATAAATCCCCGGTGAAATTGCAAACTGGTGTCTTTCTGAGACTTCTTTGGTGGACTGGTAAATAGTCACTATCTTCCTGTGTATCCAGGGGGACCTTTTCACACAGAGAAAATACTGTCTAGGAGATCCTCTGATAAAGGCACTAATCCCAATATCTACCAACATCCATATTGGGGCTTAGGGCTTTAGTATAGGACCTTCCGAGGATACGCATTAGTATGTAGCCCTTTGTTTCTGACCCAACCACTCCCCAGGCCATCTTCCAGATTTCATCTCCTTTTTCCATGTCCTAAACACTAACCTGTTTGCTCTGCTCCTCAGGACCAGGACCTCCTCTCATTTCTTGAGCTTCCGCCCTTTGCCTCATCTCAAACTAACTTTCAGATAAGAAGTGATCTGCTGAATCCCCACATCAGTCCACAGACATGAGAATCTCCATACCAGTGAAATCAGAGAGACAGGCAAGCAGAAAAAGTTCAGAACATCTTGACATGTACATTGTTCTCATGACGGACTCTCCCAGTGTTCTGAGCACTGTTGCCCTGTTGTTCTGATTTGCTCATTCCTGAAATGAGAATGAACCTGTGATTTCATGAATCTCTTAAATCATGGCCCCTGTGACAGAGTCCCCTCACCCTGGCCCTGTCTTCTCCTCCCTCGTGCCATCATCTGGGTTGTATAATATCTAAAGTGGGTCATTCGTGCATACCTGAAAACCATAGGGCAACTGAGAGCACAAAGCTCCAAGTATCCTTCCACTAAGCAAGACAGAAAAAAGCAGCTAGACCATTAAGCAAACAGGTGTCAGATAGAGTTATATAGAAGGAATGCTAGTCACAGTGGGGTGACTGGAATATACAGCAATTTATTATGTATCTCATAAAGGACTAAAAGAGAGGAATTTGAAGAGTCCCATAACAAGCAAATGATAATGTTAAGAAGACAATGGTGATTAGCTTCGTTTGATAATTATACATTGCATACTTGTATCAACTGATCATGCTCTACTGCATAAATATGGATAGTTATATGTCCATTAAATATGAAAAATAAGGGAAGAAGAAATCTAGCTGAAATGTGTTCTATAGGCAACATCAAGTAGAAGACATCAGAATGGGAAAGGAAATAAAAGTGTCCTGTGAGCACTGAAAAGAATAACAACCAAGGCTCTGCAGAATCTCTGCCTGCTTTCACTATGCAAAGTAGTTTGTAATCATGCACGCACATTTAAATAATTGCCATATGTCAGCAGGGACCCCTGAATGATGGAGTGGGAAATGCGTTCCTCCCTGCAAATCAAAGGCTTGGCTCAGCATTATTGTCAAGGCCCTAAGGCAAAGCCCATCCTTCTTCCATGATCAACAGCACTGACTTCTTCAAGACACTAGAAAACTCATCCTTCTGATAGATGCAAATATAGACAGTATCAGCTTACTCACAAATCATTAAAATCTGAGACTTTTTCATTTAAAACTCTTTTGGGAGAAAGAATACCAACATATAACAAGCAACCTTGCTAAATTTAAACCCTTATCATTATTCTTAGCAAGATTTTATGATCTCCATAACCAATCTGCTTGATTTGGCAGCTGAATATGGTTTTATATGTGATTTCTGTCTCTTTTGAGAAGATATAGCTCATGAATTAGAGAAAAGTAGAGGCTGTACCATAGACTATCTTTGCATCATAATAGATGGGTGTGTATACCACCTAACTGAAGTTATGATAATTACAAAAACAGCCTATGTTTTACCCTGTGGCATTCTTTCTTCTTAATTGGATTCTAGAATATTGTTTATTGTTTTTGCAGAGGAGAAACTTTCTGGGCTACTTCTTAGCCCAGAGGAAAAAATTGACAACATAAAGATATGCAACATGATAAATTGTATAAGTTCAAGTAATATGTTAAAGTGCCAACTTTCTTATGTTTGGATAAGAGTCACAGATTTATGGATTATGAGCAGCTAATTGGTTGGCCAGTTCTGACCAATATGCTTATATTTGCTTAATAGGGTCTTTCAGTCAGGGAGGGTGTTGAGACTTCACTCTGAGGTCTGATACATCCTGGGAAGCTGAGAAAGGGTGGGATGCAAGCCAGTGGGTAGATAATTACTAAGAGAAAACATCTTCCTGAGTAAGAAGAATACTGACTTAGTCAACCTAAGAGGAGTTTTTGCTGAAAACAGAATGATCAAACAACACCTGGAGGCGGGTGGGAGAAAAGAGCTCCACTGGAGACAATTTGGACTTGGTTTTGTCTTTGGAAAGACACAGTTCAACCCACTGAGGTATTGAGTGTTAAAACAGAAATTTAGATTAGAACGGAGAAGCCCAGTGTGTTGACAGATGTGAAGGGTGGGAGATTCTAGTTAAACTGACTTACCAGGATCTTGGCTAAAACTGGATGATGCAGAGAGGAACACATAAGTCCAGAGTCAGGCTGGGCATAAAAGGACTGAAGAGGGCTTGGTGAATGAGAGAACCTTCGCCAGAACTCCTCACTGTTGCTTCCTGGTCTGCAGGGCTACGAACAGGCAGCTGCCATGAACTTCCTGCCATGGCGATGCCAGCCACCATGCCTACCCAGGATAGACTTATATCCTCTCAAACTGGGAACCTCCCTAAGTTGTTTCTTGTCGGGTATTTGGTCACAGCAACCAGAAGAGTAACTGATATAATACTGATGATTTTTTTCCCATTAGTTTTGGCTGTGCAGCCTCAGCTGTGGATAAAACTATGGGTCCATCCTGGGTTGGAGTTCTGCCAGATGAGTGAAAAACAAAACAGGAAAGGAAAGTAACCTACAACATTTGTGTTCATACCCAAAATTGCTATAACAAGTTACCAGAAACCTGGTGGCTTAAAACAAGAGAAATTTATTTTTCTGGAGGCCAGAGTCCACAGTGAAGATGTCAGCAGGGTTGGCTCCTCCTGGAGCTCTGAGAGAAGGCTGTGCTCACCTCTGTCCCACCTACTGGTGGCCGTGCCAGTCCTTAGCACTGGTTGGTGTATAGATGCACCGCACCTTCCCCAGTTTCCTTCATGTCTTTCTGGGTCTCCGATCTTTTTTCTTTCTCTTACAAGACATTGAATTTAGGAATAACTCTGTATCTAAATCAACCCTATTCAAAGATCCAGGCATAAGCCAGGCATGGTGGCTGGTACCTATCACCAGAGTGCTAGGGAGACTTGTTACATAGTGAGTGCCAGGCTAACTAAAGCCATATAACAAGACCCTGTCTCAAAATCACCACAACAAAAATACTTTGATATATATGCAAGCAATTTATTTTCAAGTACAGTTACATTCATAGGCACTAAGGACTTGGACTTGTTCTTTGAAAGGACAAGATTCAAACACTGAGATAATTGAATGTTAAAATAGAAATATAGATTAGAAAGGAGACGCACTATCAGTAGGATGACAAGAACCAGAAAAACCTCTCTCTTTTTTTTGTCTTTTTGTTGCTTGTTTTTTGACAGGGTCTCCCTAGTCACAGCCCATCTGGAAGTCACAATGTGAACCAGGATGGCCTCAATCTCGCAGAGACCCACCTGTTTCTGCCTCCCGAGGGCTGGGATTAAAGGCACATACTACCATGCCCAGCTAGAAAAACCTCTTGACTCTGCAACTTTAAGGTCTTCTAAGTTCCAAAGAGGTCAAAGAACCCCACACTGTCATTAAAGTTAGTTACAGGAGCACACTGGAAGGGCAGGTGCATGTGGAGAAAGAACTGTGTCCTCAAATAAATGATTTTCAAGACACAGACTAAAATCACGGGAACGGGTATAGACACCTGTATATCTTATTTGTAAATTTCCATGCTGACTTAGTTTGCTATTTTCAGTCATGTAAGAAAAGGAATTTGAGGGCTGGAGAGATGGCTCAGCAGTTAAGAGCACTGGCTGCTCTTACTGTAGACCTGGGTTCTATTCCCAGTATCCACGTGGCGGCTAACAACTGTCCATAACTCCAGTTCCAGGGGATCCAATACTTTCTGACCTCCTTGGGCAATACACTCATAAATAAAA